ATTTCTGTACATATTTTTGGCTTTTATCTCTTGTGTTTTCTACCAAACACATGCAGCGCCTGCATGTTCACTACTTTACTTTCCTTTACATGTCTGTTCTGTACCACTTTATAGTTATGTTAAAGAAAAAATCTGTTCCCACTGTTTGAAAGTTGAACCAATATATCATTCACAACCAGCTTTTCCCTTTATATCCTGTATGAACTATCTTACTCTAAATCATGTTAACTTAAAAAATATATGTTTTTTTGCATCTGACTGTGGATACAATTAAGAAAATTAGAATGGTTTCAGCTAACTGTAGAGGCCTAGCTGACACTAATAAAAGGAAAGAAGTAATGAATCTATACAGGAAAAAATCATATTCAATCATTTGTTTGCAGGACATCCATGTGGCTAAAGAAGATGTAAATAAAATTAAAATGAATGGGGTTTGCAAAGTAAAATTGCACCCTTTAGATCTAACTCTAGAGGGGTGGCTATACTCTTTAATAATGACATTGATCTTACCATACACAGAACATTAGAGGATGAAAATGGTAATTATGTTATTGCTGATATAACTGTTGACGATAAAAGATTCACCCTTACAAATCTATATGGACCTAACAATGATGACCCAAATTTTTATCTAAAACTTTTCAACAATATTTGTAATTATAATGAATCCATTATTGTAGGGATTGGAATTTGGTCATTGATCCTTCAGTTGATTTGGAAAATTATAAAAATATCAACAATCCTCAGGCTAGAAATATTGTATTAGACAAAATTGAATCCCTTGATCTTATAGATATTTGGAGAGAACTGAATCCTGATTTAAGAAAGTATACCTGGTGGAGAAAAAAGCCTAGACAACAAGCAAGGTTGGACTTTTTCTTAATTTCACAAGACTTGGTTAATATTTCACTTGATTCTGATATCATACCTGGTTATAAAATAGATCATTCAGGCATTAGCTTTACTTTTTGAAAACACTATCAACCAAGAAAGAGGGAGGGGTTATTGGAAATTTAACACTTCCTTACTCTTACATCCTGAATATGCTGATTTAGTAAGATCAATCTTGAGGGATACAATTGAAGAATATTTAGATACTGAACATAATGGTGAAAATGTTGATGATTCGGATATTAAATTGAAGATTGATGATAGCTTATTCTTGGAAACTTTTCTGATGAAAGTAAGAGGAAAATCAATCTCTTTTCATCTTTTCTCAAAAGAAAACAATAAATAAGACCAGTGAATTGGAAATTAAAATCAAAGACTGTGAAGATGATATTAGAAAAGATTTCCAAAATATTAATGAATCCCTACTAGCTGACCTTACAAAATTAAAATTGGAACTACAACAAATTAAAGAAGAAGAGATAAGAGGAATTCAACTTAGAAACAGAATCTTATGGTATGAAGAAGCAGAAACAGCAACAAAATACTTCTGCCATTTAGAAAATAGAAATTATGTCAACAAAGCAATAAATAGAGTTATTACAGATAAGAATGAGGAAATTACTGACAGTAAATCAATATTAAATGAACTGAAAGAATTTTATAAAAAACTTTATTCTTCAGACAAGAATTATAAAAATGATGACCCCTGAGACAATGTAATAATTCCAATCTTGAGTGACCAATTTAGAGACAATTTGGAAAAAGAAATAGATATGAATGAAATATCATTTGCAGTAAAAAGTATGAAGAATAACAAAAGCCCTGGAATTGATGGATTTCCTATAGATTTCTTCAAGTATTTTTGGAAGGAACTCAAATATGGATTTTTAGATTTATCAATGATGTTTCAAGAAGAAATAAGATGTCTCTTACCATGAAGAGAGGAGTTATCACTTGTATACCTAAAGCTAATAAAGAAAGGGCCTTATTAAAGAACTGGAGACCAAATACTTTATTAAATGCTTTGTATAAAATAATTAGTGCATGTATCTCTAACCGGTTAAAAATCACCTTAGACTCTTTGATACATAATAACCAGACTGGATTCATACCGGGTAGAACTCTTAGTGAAAATACAAGGTTATTATATGATCTTATATTTGAAACAAAGAAAAGAGATATTCCTGGTCTGCTGATCTTAATTGACTTCGAAAAAGCTTTTGACACAGTTTCTAAAGAATTTATCAACTCTGTTTTACTAAAATTTGGTTTTGGGCCACAGATTATACGCTGGATTAATTTATTAACTTATGATACAACATCATGTGTTATTCAGAATGGACATCTCTCTGATTTCTTCCCTAATGGGCGGGGTTGCAGGCAAGGTGACCCAATATCGCCATATTTGTTTTGTTTTGTAGCTGAAATCCTTGGATGTATGATAAGACAAAATGATGATATAAAGGGTATTGTAATTGATGTTCAGGAATATAAATTAGGACAATATGCTGATGATACTGAATTATTTTTGGATGGTTCAGATGAAAGTTTGTATGCTGCTATTGATATCATTAATACTTTTTTACAATATGTCAGGGTTAAGAATAAATATCGATAAGACTAAAGCAATCTGGATAGGCTCAAATGCAGGTAGCAGAGATATGATTTGTGAAGATTTGAATATAGAATGGCAAAGAAAGGAATTTGAAGTTTTGGGTATTAAATTCACACCTGATTTGAATGACTTATGGGTAATCAACACAAAAAAAGACTCGAAGAAATTAATAGATTATTGGCAACATGGAGAAAAAGACATCTCACACTGATTGGCAAAATCACTGTAATTAAAACATTGGCTCTTTCAAAACTGGTTCACATTTTCAATTCTTTACCTAATCCACCTGATGAATTTATCACTTCCCTTGAGAGACTATTTTTCAGATTCATTTGGAACAACAAAAATGATAAAATTAAACGGAGCACTTTGAAAAAGGATTATACAGAAGGGGGTTTACGCATGATAGATATTAAAACCTTTGTTAATGCCATGAAATTATCCACACTCAGACTCTATTTGAGAAAAACAAATATGAGTAATCCATGCAAGTTTCCATTAAATGATATACTAAAATATGGAGCAAATTTTCAGAATATTGTTGAAATTGATAATCCTTTTTGGAAAGATGTTTTATTGGCATGGAAATTATACTGTAATAAGAATACCATAGAAGCAGACAACATTAAAGGAATTTTAGCACAACCTTTATGGCTGAATAATAATTTCAAAAACCCAAATCACTTTATCAGGCATTGGGCTAAAAATGGAATTTTAACAATTAAGGACCTTTGTAATGAAGATGGTTTTATGTCTCTTGAAGATCTGAAGTTCAAATTTGATATTAGAGGTACATATATGGATCTTCGATATGTTCTCTATATCATACCTGAATCATGGAAATTGACCATAAAACAATACAGAAATATATATAACAATGAATTGGATGATAACTTTCTTTATAAAGATTTTATGGATTCGAAAAAAGGTTCAAGATTATTTTATGATAAACTCTTATCTGACAATATTAAACCTCATATTTGCCTAAAATGGGAAAACTTATTTTACGATATTGATTTTGATTGGCGTATGATTTTTAATATTTGCAGAAGGAATGTGAAAGATGTAAAACTTTTAGACTTTCAATTTAAATTTTTGCACAGAATTATTTATACAAAAAAAGAACTTATGAAAATGAAACTGGTTGACAATGCAGTATGTAGCCTTTGTAATGTTGATAGTGAAACTTTATGTCACGTATATTGGGATTGTGTTGTAACCCAAACCTTCTTGAAGGAACTTGAAAACTGGATAATCCAAAATATACAGAAATTTGAAATAACAAAGACCTTGGTTTGGTTTGGAATTTTGGGTAATAAGCCATTACTAAATCATATAATTTTATCTGCTAAAAATTATATATATACTTGCACTTTGAAGAAAATAATTCCAAAAGTTAATAATTTTTTTAAAAATTTGAAAGACATTTATACGGTTGAAAATTCCATATCCAGAAGGAACAATAAATCTGATCAATTTTCAGACAAATCGTTTCCTTTATTCTCAATATTTAATTTCTGACGTAATCTTTAATGAAAGGGGAATAATTGTTACTGGAGTATATTCTCTCTATGCTATCAGTTGACCTAACATTTGTGCTGAACCCAATGAACTTTGATCATGTATTTATGCATTTATTGCTTTACTTTATATGCTTGTACCTTAATTATGGGAACAAATAAAAAGTGTACTGCAGTAATTCAGGTCACGTTTCGTCTAAACTGAAATAGTATACTTAGTAGCCAAGGTAACGCCTTTTGTGAATAGGTATAGGGTATGGACGTAACTGCGGGTATCCAGCCACGAGACCAGAGCATAAATCTATGTCAAACAAAACCCGAGTTATGACGGGTGAAAACGTTGTTTTCTAAATTACTTCAAGTGTCCAGGGTCTCGATTCACAAAGCGTTCGCAACGTTACGACCCATCGTAAACTCTATACTTTATCATCGGCCTACAAATGGCATAGTGCTAGGAACGTTTTGTGGATGGGGCCGCTGCACTGAATGATCAAACAACATATCCCCGTGTATCTCATATGCGTGTTCACCTTGCAGTGGGGCAGTGGGTTAGTCTAGTGGTTAAAGCGTTGGCTCGTCACGCCGAAGACCCGGGTTCGAATCCCCACATGGGTACAATGAGTGAAGCCCATTTCTGGTGTCCCCCGCCGTGATATTGCTGGAATATTGCTCAAAAGCGGCGTAAAACCAAACTCAGTCAGTCAGCCAGTCAGTCACCTTGCAGTCCTTTCACGTCACGTTTCGTCAAAACGGACATATCACACTTAGAGCCTTAGATAATGCTTTGTGTGAATAAGAATGGGGTACGGCTGTTACTGCAGGTATCCAGATTGTATTCACCATACCTTTACACTGTGTCCCGTTCCTAGAGAAACCTTTATCACAAACACACGTGTAGCTCCCTTCATTGTCATGGCAACTGGCATGTTCCTCACAGCTGTAATCTCCTGTGGTACATTCATCGATATCTGCCACAAATATAGAGTTAGGTGTTAAGCTTTCATCAAAGCTACATGTACTATAAATAGACAATGTCTGAAACTCAGCACAGTAAACTTAGAGCTAGCATACTAAAAACCTATAAGCCAAGTGTAGGACGAAACATTAGCTGAAAAGAATACTCTTGCAAGGTAAATTCCAAAACACTGATACCAAATGGTATAATGCAATAATGGTATCAACAGCAAGACATGGGATTGCAACTGTACTGCTGAGAATGCACATAAACTGGTCTCCTAACTGTTCTCCGCTCTAAGTTCCCAGTCAGAATGATTGGTTAACGAGTGGAGCACTTTGAAGCTGGACCCTGTATCACAAAGCAATCTGAGTGTAATGAGTCATTTACGATGTTTACAGTTTAAAATAAACTTCAGGCTGCGAGGGCTTGCTGAAACGTAAAAACTATCAGCCCCAGAACAAAATCTGTCGGCCTCGGGCCTTCGGGCCAGTGTCTATTTCCAGCACTGATATCAGTACACAGTAAGAGTTATAATGATACACTGGATGTTTCGCTTTTTAAGTTATGCTGAAAAATATATAACTGTTAAATACTAATAACAGAAAATAACAGTCCATTTCAAATATTTCTTGTCTGTACCGAATGATATATCTTTACTTACTTTGGCACGAACCGTTGGGATTCCTATAATACCCTTCCTTGCAGTCACAAATGAAGCTACCGATAGTGTTGACACATTGTTCGTAGTTGTCGGAACAAGGGGAGCTATCTCTCTGACATTCGTCTATGTCGTCGCTGCAGTCACTTCCAGTATAACCTTCCTCACAAATGCACCCTTTCTCTTGGTCGCATCGTTGAAGATGTTGACATTGGGCACAGCTCATTGAACAATTGGGACCGAACATCAAGGGATCCGTGCAAGCTGGAGGGTAACAGTGTACACGTATAGGAAGCCACTGAGTGATTCCCAAGGACTGAAAGACCTAACTTAACACGCTGTCTAAAACAATCCCGAAACCAGTAGCCGAAACAAACATTTTTTAATCAAACAGAAAATCAAAACTTTGAGACCCGTATTCAGCGCATTTCGATTCTTGATTGTTCCGTTTTTCTATGCCAGTTTAATTTGCCTGTCAACCTGCTTCTAGAAATCTTCAGTGACTGTAATGTACAATGCATTGTGAGACATGTTGGGAACAAGAAGCACTTTGAATGATCATGCAAAACATTCCCGCATACACATGAAAAACACTGACAAGGTAAAACCTAATGGCCTGTTAATGAGACATGACAGCAGAACTTACGTCTGTTTTCATTTGGGATTCCCGAAGTTAATGTCTAGAAATGAAGCTTTTTTCTGTTGTTCATGCTTTCTCAGAAGAATAAGTCAGTTTCTCTGAAAGGTACATGTGTGTGTAGATTATGTTGTACCTTTGCACGTGGTCTTGTCAACCTGAAGGGTGTATCCAGGAGCACAGGAACAGAGAAAGCCGCCGTCGATGTTGCTGCAGGTGTGATCGCAACGCTGTTTGGTGGAGCATTCGTCGATGTCTGACCAGAATATACAACCCACTATTTTAACATATTGACATTTTAAATAGTAGACCAGTAGGCCTTCTGCATTAAAATAGGGGCCCATGCAGGTTATGACAAGCGACTAAATTGGTCCATCCTCGATAGTATCCAGGGCATACGTTCCGATAAATCTCAACTATACTATCGGCACGTATACCTTGGAGATTATCGAGGATGCAATTGGTCGGGAGACGGGTTCGGTGATAAGGTTCAAAATATGTTGTCGTGCTGAAGTTGCCCGGATGGATCACTATTGCATCAATTACTGGATTGACTCTATTATCTACACACCGTTGTCATACAGATCACATACTGCTGAAAGTTAAGCAAGAAACACGCAGTATATGTCTGAGCTCATGTACGGAGTAGGATTTCTCTCCTGCAGACACTCCCACAAAGGTTTATCTATAATTTAGAATCAAACCAAGTCTGCGGTATTTTATATTTAAATTGGACAAAAGATTGCACTAATTGTAGTTTTCGATGCTGTTTAATCAGATATATATGGGTGAAGGTATCGAAGTCCATGTTTACATGTTGAATGGCATAAGAAAAGTAGTCTGACCTTGACATCTCGTCCCATTGACCAGTGTCAATCCTCGTGGACAATAACACCTGGCACCAAGTGAATCCTCCAAACAGTGGGAACAGTTCAGACCACTTTCAGCACACGTCTTCGAACCGGCTGCAATGACTGTCATAGGGAAGACATATATATACAGTGTAGTAGTAGTAGTAGTAGTAGTAGTAGTAGTAGTAGTAGTAGTAGTAGTAGTCGTCGTGGTGGTGGTGGTGGTGGTGGTGGTGTTGCTGTTGGTGTAGTAGTAGTAGTAGTAGTAGTAGTAGTAGTAGTAGTAGTAGTAGTGGTGGTGGTGGTGGTGGTGGTGGTGTTGTAGTAGTAGTAGTAGTAGTGGTGGTGGTGGTGGTGGTGTAGTAGTAGTAGTAGTAGTAGTAGTAGTAGTAGTGGTGGTGGTGGTGGTGGTGGTGGTGGTGGTGGTAGTGTAGTGGTGTAGTAGTAGTAGTAGTAGTAGTAGTGGTGTGGTGGTGGTGGTGGTGGTAGTGGTGGTGTAGTAGTAGTAGTAGTAGTAGTAGTGGTGGTGGTTGTGGTGGTAGTAGTAGTGGTGGTGGTGGTGTTGGTGGTGGTGGTAGTAGTAGTAGTAGTAGTAGTAGTAGTAGTAGTAGTAGTAGTAGTAGTAGTAGTAGTGGTGGTGGTGGTGGTGGTGGTGGTGCTATTGTTAGTGTTATAAAACACAATCAGACCAGAACCTATCATCGTTCATGAGTTTCTTGGGGTTACCTTTACATGTCCCGTTTACAGTCATGTTGTACCCCTCGTGACACGCGCACTGGAATCCCCCCAGGGTGTTGTTACACTTTTGGTCGCAGTTGTCAAGTCTCAAGTCACACTCATTGATGTCTGAAACACGTTGACGTGAATATGGTCATAGAATGGATAGCGTTATCGACATGACTAACCCATACACTTGCATACAATTGAAGTAAAATAAAAGCATGCAATTGACATTATCCGGCAGCATCTACATTCAGAAATCTCACAGCATCGATTGGATAAGTGGTTATCAGAAAACTATTGTCAAGCGTTCTACGTCTTTGAGAGATTACGTAAGCAACCGTGGCTGCAAATCACTACGCACTTTATGATGCAAAGGACGATTCACCCAGGCATTGTATTCCTACGCTGTGTGTCAAGTAACTTCAGTAACCTGTTTGAAGCGCTTTAAGGCGTGTGCTGAACAAGGGAGATAATTCTATGGAGAGTAAAGTCTCTGAAGTATCCGAATCATACGCATGACCACATACTTCAAATCTAGTTTTTAACATATTTTTTATTTTGCAATTATCATATATTATAAACACAAGAAAAGAACTATATGAACATACCTCGACATGCTTTACCATCGGAAGATAGAACGTAGCCCTTGTCGCATGTACAATAATAACTGCCGGGGGTGTTGTGACATGTTCCGTTGCAACCATGGTCATCATTATGGCATTCATCTATATCTGAAGAAACGATAATACGTACGTTAAGCAGCTTCAAGGTAATTGATTTATGGAGTTCCTTACTTTTAAAGATCTAAATATCTAACTAAAATATTTCATGTCCATTTTAAACTGGATATACTGACGTTACTGTATCTCCTTAAAGTAAATAGGGTAAACTACGGTTATAACGAACTCGAGGGGGAAACCAATACTTATTGTTCGTTATAACCGAAGTTCGTTATAAGCATATATACAGCATGCGACCCCGACCAAACTTCTAGTTTGATATAACCGTCAGTTACAAATGTAGTTGACTGTATCATTCATTCTGTTGAATGGAACATCGTGGATAGAAATTTCACCTGAGAGACAAATTCAGCCTGATTAAAAGGTAGGAGGCGCAATAACAACTTGACTGACCGTCATGTAAACCGTCTTTTATCCAATATCAAGCATCGATTTAAGACAATTTGTTGCTTTCGAAAATATATTTATTTGCCATTCCATCAATACGATTTTGCAGTAAACGGACTTAAGTCCAGACTGGCGTATAAAGCCACACGCTTACAATGCATGAGGGAATCCTGCAATCTCGAACGCGATGTGCACACACGTGAATGGTATGTCACATAATGTTTGCCTGAAAGGCTCTCACTGTGATATGACTGTTGTAGAAAATGAATACCATGTTCTCTTTACTTGTAATAGATATTCTCTTCTCCGTAACGAATACATCTTGACCATCCAAAAATAGTGTAAAGCTAGATTAACATTACAAAAAATATTAAACACACCTGATGTGAATATACTACGTTTAACATCTATATATTTGCTAAAAATATTTGACTAAAGATCTTAATACAATTTTGGTCATGTGACAACTTTTGTATACCTTACAATACAATTGTACTATGGGCCATGTGGCCTAAAATACGGAATAAACTTGATTGAAAGGCTTCCAGTGTTTGAAATTAACGTCGGTCCTTAGACCCGAAGCCGACTAAAAACCACTCGGACTCACAGCTTTTGTTTTCTGCAGGCCGACAGCTTTTTCATCCTCAATAATTAAGAGTATTATTTTTCAGAAAATATCATTCGGCAATTTCTAGTTTACATTTCTAAATTAAACTCTTTAACCCAGTTTGTTAGTTGTTACAATTTTTGTTTGCTGGGAAATACTTATTTTGTAATATATAATATAAGGCCTACACATTCTGATCAAGACCCACAACTTTTTATGGTTCTGGGTCCTTTGGGCCTTCACTTTTTCAGGGTTACGGGCAAACGCTGACTAGGCTTCTCCTTTTGTGCGGCTGTCGACTATTTTAACAACACTAACCTGTGCATTTTCCGTCTGATAAACTGAATCCCTCGCGACATGTACAGTTGTTCGGGCGACCCAGTCTCTGCTGCTCCGCTGGGGAGAGGTCTGTGCAGTTGGTAC